CTATCTCACCATAGCAATGCACACACGTTGGAGAGCTTGTTATGTCTGTAGCAGGCATACTAGAAAGTTTCAAAGGCATTGATTTCCTGCTTTCTTTGGCAACCCTCGGTGAATTTCTGCAGTGAGATAAAAAGTTGTATTGCAGTTTGCTGTCAGTGACCTTATGGGACCATAGGTAGATAATGTTTTTGGAAGCTGGTATAGTCTTTGTTTCGTTTAAAATAAATAGGTGGGAAACCTTGCTGATAGAAGTGAAGTTAGGGGCAGGCAAGCTAGAAGAATCAGCAGTCAGCAGTCTCTGAAGAACTTCTGGGAGTGAAGCTGGGAGCTTGGCTTTTTTGGTAAGGTCAGACAAGGGATCTGTGTGTTTGTGGGTCTGGCAGGGGAAGGGGGGAAAGAGACTCCTGAAACAGCATCCTTGTAAGAATTTGACTGCTAGAACTGAAGTTGGTGGCTAAACATGGCATGATTAGGAGATGTGCTTGCTCAGATCTGTAGTCTGGATTACTTTTATGTCCATTACATGATGAAGAGAGCTGGGGCCTTGAGCAGTGTCTGATGTTTCCAAGGGGCCTGAATTCTGGATTATGTTTTACATGAGCTGGACCATTTTATGCATGGGTGTGGGTAATTTAAAACTATTCAGAGTTCAGGACCTGGATAAGCTGCTATATGTAGGTAGCTGCTGTTCTGTCAAGGTCACTGATGCTATGGAAGTATCTTAGCCAAAAATAGAGCAATGGTAGTTTATGCCATGTGCTGAATTTCTTGATGCAGAGGAAGATACCTAAGCAGAGACGTAAAGCACTCACGAGGTGATCTGGAGGCTTAACAAACACCTCTTCCGTCAGTTGTTGCAACCACCTCACAGCAGAGGAGAGAAGGCATAACCCTTGGTGGTATCTTTCAGGTGGACGTTTACCTGCACCGATCTGTGGAAGGGGTGTGTAAATCGTTCTACACTCCTCCAGGACCTCCCTGCCAATTCCCCGGTGTTTGTGTATCAGATTGATTTGATCCCCGAGGTGCAGAAGGAGACCTTTGAGTCATTTTACCTTGATGAAGTCATCATAACAGATAGCAATTTGACTGGTAAAGGAATGAGTTTTTTCTTTCCTGTTAATGTTCTCTCTCTAGGACTCTCCATGCAAAACTGAAATGCTTAATTGGCTAAAATTTTTTTTCAAAGGGGAAGGGTGCTTCACAGCAGACACAAAAACGTTTCATTTTGTTTTCTGGAACTTATATTTTTTTTTTTGTGAAAGCAATCAAGAAATTATCAAAAATCAACATTCTTTGCTTATTTGAAAATATGCTTCAATAAATGTAACTTTTAAATAATGGTCTTATTCAACTGAAAAACCAAAAGGGGCTATGCTTCCAGCATATGGAATGGAAATAACCCAGGTGTAGTAATGTCTGGTTTCCTAGCTGTAATGAATGACTGTCATCTTTTCCTTTCAGTTTCTCAGAGGGATCCCAAACCACCTCGGCCAGCTGGGAAGATAATTGAAGCAGTAACTGTGGTGGGGTCTTCTCCCACTTACAATGTGTCCTTGTTGGTGGCTGGTTGTGGTGCAAGTCTGCCCCTTCTCTCACTAAGGTAGGGACAGTGAGTAGATTATCTCACACCCTGTAATACCTCTTGCAGTTCCCCCTGACATGTGTGGAGCTGGCTGTCATCTAAGACAGGGCACAAGAGGCAGTGGAGCATAAGTCTGGTCCAGATGGGAATTTCCTTATATTCTTCTCCTCTAGTCATCTCAAATGGTCTATGTTCAGGCTGTGTTTAGAATACTGAATTGTGCCCAGATGTCTGTACTCAGTGGGTGGTATTCAGCTCAAAATTAAAATATCTAATTTCAGTCTCAGCATGTGGATGTTTTGGGTTTTGTTGATCATGTAGGAGCTTCAATATACATTTTAGATGTTTTAATAAAGGTATCTGATTCTGGTACTGAAGCTGCACTGTACGAGTGGGATAGAGGTGCCCAATTTATTTCAGATACCTTGGGTTATCTCAGAGTTCTGCATGGGCCACCAAGATATGACTTAGAGCTAGGAGAACTAAGCCCTTCTGGAACAGTGGCCGGAGACCGAGAGAGATACCCCCAGCACATCTAATGATACCAGTTGCCATGCTAGGCAATGGAAGCGTACTTTATTGACCTTGTTTAGAGGGATGGCTTCTATTCTGGAAGCCCCAATAATGACCTTAAAGGAAGGGCCATAGGCTAGCGAGATCAGAAAGAACAGCATTGAAGGGCTAAACTGACAGAGAACAGCCCTGTAAAAATTAGGTTATATTCAGATGAGTCAGCAAGGATCTGATGGGGCCAGAGCCAATGCAAGGGAGAGGCTGGAACGATGCAGCCTCTGCTCCTCTGCAGTGGCCAGCCCTTGGTTTGGCTCAGTGACTCATATCCATGAGAGGAACATGAACTTCAGCTCTGCTGTGAATTAAGTTAGTTTCCCACCTTGTGATCTCTCCCTTTTCAATCAAAAACAAAGAAATGTGACATTTAGTTCTGAGGATCACTGTAGCACATAAAAACACACTGCTTAACAGAAGGGCTCTAGAGACAGATTTTTCGTTTCAGAAGTGGTTAAGATCTGAAGAAAATTAGGAAGCTGAGTCTGGTTCCCAAAACAGGAAAATTCTTGCATCTCCCAGTGAAATCTGGGACGCGAGTGAATTTGCCAGTCACCCATTGGGGTTCAGAGAAACATAGCCCAAGTCAGCACAAATAAAAAGATCGATGTGACCCAGCTCATACCTGAGTCCTCTCAACATGGTGTCAGTTCAGCAGCAGGTCAGGCCCTCATCCTGCACAGCTCAAGTCTGAGTGGTCATTTGGTAAAACAGTCAAAGCACCATTCACAACTAGCTGTTCTACAGAAGCCAACCTAGAGGGTTAGCAAAGCATAGAAGGATTTGACTTCTCAAGGTCTCTCCTCTAGCATGATATCTAATTGCTAGCATCAAGTTTAGTATTTCAACGCAAACCACCAATAATAAAGGCAAGGATGAGAAGATGGGCGAGTGTTTGTGAGGTCTGATGGGTATAAACAGTGCTATAAACAATAGAAAGTTTTTTTTGTTTTTTTTTTTTTTTTGTACTTGTGTGTGTAGCCGTAAGACTGGCACTGGCATGCTACATACTGCATTGAGTACATTTTAAAGGGATTTCAAGGAAATTGGAAGAAAAAAAAACTATAAACATGATTGTGGAGTAAAAGAAAATGCCTTACAGAGAAAGATTTAAGAAGCTCAGTCTGTTCAGTTTATCAAAAAGAGGATTAAGAGGTGGATTAGTAATAATAGTATCTCTCACCAGGAAAAAACATGCTTGACATTGGTGTGCTTTTATGTTTCACAGAGACACATCAGCAAAATCAGATGCTGCAGCCAGACTGCAAATATAAATTGGTATACGCTTTAAAAATGGGTAGGCTGCTTGCTGTCTTTGGATATTTTTCAAAACAAAACTGGCGCATTCTGTGCTTTAGTCTAACCTTACTTGCTGGGATCGGAGTCAGGGATACTGGAAAAATCTGATGTAGTGGCTGTATGTTGGACTAGAAAGCCCAGCGGTCCTTTTGATTTCATGTTTTCTAAACTTCATCCACAGAAACCCAGGCTGAATTTGGAGGCTTTAGCTGTTATGCAGACGCATAACCACATGGTGGCATCACTGTATCGCAGAAAGTCTCCCCCCCCCCCCCCAAAAAAAAAAAAAAAGGGGGGGGGGGGGGGGGGGGGAGTTTTAGTGGCAAGGTAGAAAATATTTTAGGTCTTAGAAAATGGAGTGTGAACGAGATATACAATATTGGTCTCTATTCCTGGCTGTAATTCAGGGGTGCTGAGGTTTCGATAAGTCTGGGGAGACTACAGAACGAAATGTGAGTGAGGGTTATATGTACTTAAAGCTAGAGAGTTTCTTGATTTCCTCCGTCTTCTGCTGCTGCTTCAGCTGTGTTGAGGTGGACCTTAAAAATGCCCATCTTGGAGTAGGACTCACTTGGGCTTTGTGTTGTATCCACTATTTCCTCCATTTAAACAAGTATTTTTCCATCATTTCCTGTTGTGTACAATGCCAGCATCATGGGAGAGCATGCAGAGAGCAACTGAGTCTGTTAGGGCTGCAAATATATTTTGGTTAGGTCCTTTGAGTGTTGCTCCCATGCATTCCTATGAGGGTAGGGCCAAAGGTTCATACGACAACTGTCTCGAAAAATTGTAGCTCCAGAGGTAAGAAAATCAGTCGCTGTGGAGCGAGAACAGAAAGTACCTTTCTGCAACTTGATCTAATTTGGAAAATATTTTACGGAGCTGCAGCAAGGGTCTGGTGAACATGACTAATCCCTCTAGCACCAGTGAGTTCAAGATGCCAAGACCGGATTAATTTTGCATCTGTTTTCACTCTGCTGCTGGTAACAGAAGGGTGTCACCAGTGGAGTTCCTGACTGCTAATGCCTTCATGTGAGCCCTCTCTGTCATGCAGAGATGCTGTGCTTTTGGATGGCTCGGAGGAAGATGGCCACGTCTCTGTCTCCACGGAGGATGCAAGAGTCAACCTCACTGTTCAGAGACTGCAAAAGTCATCTCCACCTATTGGAGGGACCTTCCGCATCCACCTGGCCAGTACAGTGATATCAGGTAAAAGACAGTGTGAGCAGGGGTCAAGGATTTGCTTTCTAGGAAGCCAAGTGAAGAAAAGAAAAGACTGAGCCTTGACCATGCTCAAGGAACAGGCTGGTAGGCCAAACCCATTGGAGCGGCTGCTAGAGCTTTGCACTCGATGTCCTTAAACACAGGAGTTAAGGATTACAGGGAAGACAGTCTTTATAGAGGTTAATTATGGAATTGCTCCAAAATGCATTCAGTCACTCTGAAATACTAGTCTTAATGTTAAAAGATTTTGGATCAGAGTCTGAACTGGGATTTTGCATCCCAAGGTTTCATTACACTGATGTTTCTCCAGTACATGTACTTCTGGTCCACTTGTATGACAATGCTGCTATTGCTCCAGGCTATGAATTGCTTTTCTCTTATGAGAAGCTTTTCTAAAACTGCAGTCAGTAAGACTCCTCTTGGGTTTGCCCCTGTATTTCATAACACCAGCCTGCAAGTGAGACCCATGCAATTTACCAGATAATAAATTTGCTCTCATGATTACTGGAATTGTTTTGGTTTGCAGACACCAACCACAAAAGCTTTTGTGCATAGAATTGCTTGACTTGATTTCATCACTTTTCAGATGTTCTGGGTTTTCCTGTATTTACTTTAAACAGAGAGGTTTAGAAGGACAATTAATGAGTTAATCTCAGCAAGTCAAACGATTGAGTTCTTGACTGCAGAACTGGTGACTTGTAGTTAGAAAATAAAATCATAAAATGAGAAGATGCAAGCTTAGAATAGTCATTAAATTACTTTCTCCTTCATGTTGTCACTTAAAACTTTTCTGAAACATCTTATGACTGCAGCTGAAGGTGGACTCAACAATTCCCTGCTTTGAAGATCCACTTTTCTAAAATGAACTCCATTCCTCTTGCCCTGTTCCCGGCCCCCGTCTTTTCCCTTCTTTCTTATCTCTTTAGGGAGATTTATTGTATTTGCAGCTTTGAATGGCTGTGGGTCCTTACGTCAAAAGAAGTGAGATGCCATTTGCATTTATTAGGACTAAACTCTACAAAGTCTTCTTGATAGACTGATTTTCCCCCCAATACATACAGTTCACTTATCTAGGAAGTTTCTGAATTTTTACTTTTGAAACAATACGATTGCACAGTGAAATTTCATGCCTTCTAAAGACGTAGACTGCATGTTATAAAAAGTATTACTTGGACAACATTTCTAATGATTCCATCTAGAGATATGTTTCTGGGTTTTCTTATCTATTAGAAAGTGTAGAAGATATTTTGGCATTGGGGTTTCAGTACACTTTCCTTTGCTGCTTTTTTTTTTTTTTTGCAGTTACAGAAACTTAAACCATTACAGCCTGCCAGTAATAACGAAACATCTTTCCTTTCTAGGAGCAGGCAGATGTACTGTCATAGGGATTATATCCACTGCTTTCTAATGTCTTTTACAGGTGTCCCAGTGCACGTTTCCTCCCATCATCTTCGCAGGCTTTTGCAAGACAACACAGATAACTCCACAGCCCCGTACTTCAACATCAGTGATTTCACAGTGACCAAGGACTCAAACTCTTGTTATGAAAATATCTGGATCCTGACTTGGAAAACAAAAACAGGGGACTTACCCAATCTTATAAGTGT